TTTAAACCCACTCTTAGTCTTTGTTGTTTCTGTTATCACTCTATCAGATGGGAGGACTAAAATTGATAGGTTCTGGATACTCTTACTTTTACTCTGTTAATCTGGCTACTCAAGTCAAAAGGGAAAAAAGTTAAAAATAAAGTACCCCATTTTATATTTACATTTTGCTCTAAATTGGTTCTTGTGACCCAGCAATGTATTTAGAGGAAATTTTACAGAGCTCTGGTGGTATAGTCCCGAGGGAGTTGTCCTGCTAGCCCAAAGGCCACTCGTCTCTGAAAGTTTGAATCCACCCATTGGCTCCTGAGATGAAGATGGACAAATTCCTCCCGTGGGACTTACCATCTGGGAAACCTATAGAGAGTCAGCTGTGAGTCACTTCTGATATGACAGTAGTTAGTGAATTTGAGCTTTTTTAATCAGTAATTAAACATTATTTTATCAGTGTTCAAAATATAATGTTCATTTCTCACAGTAGCACATGTAAGAGAAGAATTATTTCCTATTTCTACATATCAACATGTTCAATTTACCATAGTTCTAAAAACATGACATAGAGCTACATACAAAATATATTTTGATTTCCTAATTTAAATTTTTTTTATACCAAAGCTTTTTGTTATAGTAGACAATCAAGAGTTGATCTTTTCTGTTAATTTACCTACATAGTACCAGTTTTATTAGAATACTTGGTGGCAGGAGTTTCCAGTTAAATGACAACTGTGTCTTTTTGTGTCCAAAACTAATAATAAATTGAAGAGGTATTTTAGCAGACTTTAAAGTATTTACTTATCTGAACAATCTGTCTGATTCAGAAGGACTTGTTTGTAATAGGATTTTCTTTTGCTCATCAAGTGCTAGGTTCCAGCCTATTCATCGTCTGTTGACAAAGAAAACCTTTTCAGACTAAAGATGAAACTAGTTTGAAGTTGTGTCGTTTTAGTTGGTTTGAAGGTTTCACTTTTAATTCATAAAACACTGAGTTTTGACTTCTTTTGTCCTTTTTAGTGGCTCTTTTAAAATGAACACGAAGAATGTTGTGATTCAGATTAATATTTTTTGAATAATGGTTTTTTTCCCCGAGTGATAAATGATTTCTGTACTTTTCCCTTTTCAATAATGCTAACTCCAGTGTTGATTAAAATGCTAAAATAAAATGTGTGCCTTAATATTTTCCAAATGAATTCTGATGATTTTATTTATGTGGGATTACTGGCCTATGCACATATTTATTAATGAAAATCGTGGTAAATTAAGCTTGTGATTATTTTTAAAAAATTTTTATTGTTTCTCTTCTACGTAAGCTTTTACTTCTTTTACTTAAAACTGCAGGTAATGGAATATGCATTGTTGGGCAAAGTATCATTAATTAACAAATTTTCTGAAGTGATGTTAGGTCTATTATGTCATTAATTACTTGTGACCTAGTTGTAAGGAGTTAAGCTACCAACTCAAAGACAGGAGGTTCAAATCTACCAGCTGCTTAGTGGGAGAAAGATGAGCAATCTTCTCCTGTATGATTTACAGCTTCTAAAACTCACTGGAGGGTCAGCTATGAGTTGATTCTGACCCAAGAGCTACATAACAGCACCACATTATGAATAAGGGGATTCTAGTGGTACAGACCATGGCCTTTGTAATCACTTGGAAGACAGAAGGAGAATTGATGCCTTTGAGCTGTGGTGCTGGAGAAGAGTATTGAATGTACCCATGGACTGCTAAGAAAATGAACAGGTTCATCCTGGAGAGGGTTAAACCAGGCTGCTCTTTGGAGGCAAGGATTCTGAAGCTTCGTCTGACATACTTTGGACATGTTGCAAGGAGGGGACCGGTACTTGGAGAGGGACGTCATGCTTCGTAGGGTGGAGGGACAACTCAGAAGAGGAAGACCCTCTATGAGGTGGATTGATTCAGTGACGGGTAAAATTGGGATGGGTGTGTCAGAGACAGATTGGCACAGGACAGAGCAGGGTTTAGAGCTGTTGTACATAGGGTCACTATGAGTCGCAAGTGACTCAATGGCACATAACAACAGCAACAACAACAGTGGTATATAGTCACTAGGAAATTGCAGGGTTAACTAAGAAATGATGCCTCTTTGGGAGTTTGAACCTACCTATAACTCTGAGAGAGAAGGCTGGGCTGTCTCTTCTCATGTGATTTACAGCCTTTGAAATTCAGTTCACTGGAGACTCCACTATGAGTTGGTTCCAGCTCGGTGACAGTGAGTTGAGTTGAGACTAATGAATAAACTGGCATTGATCAGAGATGTCTGGAATCAGTTAAGCATAAGAAAATGTGTCAGGTGGGCACTGGGCACCAGTTCCAAAACACTGGCTTGAGGAGAAAGCTTTCTATCTGGTAAATAAGGTGGCTTAGCATGTCCTCTCTGTGGCTTCCTGCTCATAAGTGTAGTACTGTTCCACCAGTAACAGCTCCCTTTTTCTTTAGTAATTTCTAACTGGGATTTCCCCCCCCCCCCCGCCTCATTTTCTCCTCCACTACTATTCTAAAGCCTCTATTTTATTTATTAGATGTCTTAAGGATGATCTGTACTTCTGTTTATTTATGAATACAATTTATTGTATGAACACGTATATTCTAAGCCTTGTTTTATTACTAAGTGAACCTGTAACAACCATGTATAACTCTGTCTCTTTGTGCTTCAGTGTCACAAATACTTTTTTAAAGGCTGGTAAATCTGTAAAACGAAAAGATTATTGGTTTCCAAGAATAAAGGGAATTAAGAATTGAGAATGACAGTTAATTGGCATGGGTATGGTGGGAAGTAATAAAAATATTCTGAAAGTAGATAGTTGTGGTGGTTGCATGACTTTGAGTACAGACTGAAACTCACTGACTTGTTTTTAAATGGAGAATTTTATGGTATGTGAATTCTATCTCAATTA